TACCAAGGAGTTGTGAGGCGTATGAATTGTTGTTGTTGTTGTTGTTGTTGTTGTTGTTGTTGTTGTTGTTGTTGTTGTTGTTGTTGTTGTTGTTGTTGTTGTTGTTGTTGTTATTTGTTCAAACTGGCAGGCCAATTATTATTCATTTAGATATTTTTACACCGCCTTTCTCCTTAGAAGGACCCAAGGTGGCTGACAGCAATTAAAAGATCCTATTTAAAAGCTAAAAACCATAAGTATGCAAATATTTTAAAAAGGAGTTAAACACACATTATATTAAAAATGGTGAATCGATGGATGCTGAAAGCACATTTGAACATGTCAGAGTACAACAATCCCATTTTTTTGGAAGAAGAAAAACGCACTGAGGGAGGCAGTCACTAAGGAAAAGCCAGCCTGAAGAGAAAGGTCTTGGCCTGCTTATGGAAGGACAGCAAAGATGGGGCCAGGCTGGCCTCTAGTGGGAGGGAGTTCCAGAGTCTAACAGAGCAGCCACAGAGAAGGCCCTCTCCCAGGTCCCCACCAGATGCACCTATGAAGGTGGTGGGACCGAGAGAAAGGCCTCTCCTGGTGATCTTAATTCCAAGGGAACAGAGCGGAGCCATAGGTGGGGAAAGCCACCCCAAACATATTGCCAAATATAAAGGAGATAAGACAAACCTTTTGCCTCCTTGACCGTGACTTTGAAGGTCAGTTTCTGGCCGGCAGCCTCACAGGTGTACTCGCCTTCATCCTTCTTCTCCACCTGCTTCACCAGCAGCCGCCGGGATCGTTCCTCGGCTTCAACCTTGAGCTTGTTGCTGGAGGTGACCGGTTTCCCGTTCTTGAACCACTTCACGTCTCTGTTCGCCTGGGCCACTTCACAGCTGAGCATCACGTCCTCCGAAGAGGCAGCCTCGATCTCTCTCTGGACTTTGTCCCGGTTGGTAAAGACCTCCTCTGGTTCTGCAGGGGGTGGAATTAAAAAGAAGAAGAAGAAGAAGCAATGCCAGATGACTCCATCTCCCCTTTGAAGGAACTTGCTTCCCTTCCATATCTGAAAAACCTGTGCTTTGGCTGATTTTGGCTGGCTTCTTTCTCCATTCTTTCAATGAGGGATGACAGAAAAAGGGTCCTCTGTCCCCCTCATGTTGGATGGTCTGTGGACACTAGGGAACCGGCTTGGTCATAATACAGGATGTACTAAGGAGAATGGAAGGGTGGGCTGGCCTTGCTAGTAGCAGCTACTTTAAGGGAGGACCAAATTAGACAGCACATTTGTTATGGAATAGCTGGTGTCATATTTCACCATGGGGTGAGCCATTTTCGGCACTGGGAAACCAGGGGAGAGGCAGAAGGGAACTGTAGGTGGCCTTTTCTTTGGGGTGTGTGTGGAATCAATGGAAAAGCAATTTCAAATATCTAGCAAGACATCAAGGAAAAGGTCCAGACCTTTGGGCGGTACTGCGATGACACTGAAGGTCAGAGTCTGGCCGTCGGCCTCACAGACGTAGTGGCCCACATCCTTCCTCTCCACCTGCTTCACGATCAGCCTTCGGGATCGGCCATCCACTTCTATCTTGAACTTGTCGTTGGATCTGATCAACCTCCCCTCTTTGAACCATTTGACTTCGGTGTCAACCTGGGCCACCTCACAAGCCAGAGTCACGCTTTCAGAGAGGACCGCCTTGATCTCCTTCTCTACCTTCTCCCTGTTGGCAAAGACGTCTTCAGGCTCTGCGGGAAGAAAAAATTTAATTCACACACCTCCCAAATCAGAAAGGTGGAAGGAGCACGTCTGCTCCCTGCTGGGCACCCAAAATCCAGGAGCACGCTAAGCCAGTTTGGCATCATCTTTAAAGTTTCAGAGTTGTTAGAGAGACAAACAGGCAAGAGAGACAGACACATGTTTATGTTTGTGGATTCAACTTAGAAGATGCCATCTTCTTGGGAGGAAAGCAGTGACAAACCTTGACAGCATCTTAAAAAGCAGAGACATCACCTTGCCGACAAAGGTCCACATAATCAAAGCTATGGTTTTCCCTGTAGTGATGTATGGAAGTGAGAGCTGGACCATAAAGAAGGCTGACCGTTGAAGAATTGATGCCTTTGAATTGTGGTGCTGGAGGAGACTCTTAAGAGTCCCCTGGACTGCAAGGAGAACAAATCTATCCATTCTGAAGGAAATCAACCCTGAATGCTCCCTGGAGGGACAGATCCTGAAGCTGAGGCTCCAATACTTGGGCCATCTCATGAGAAGAGAAGACTCCCTGGAAAAGCCCCTGATGTTGGGAAAGGGTGAGGGCAAGAGGAGAAGGGGACGACAGAGGACGAGATGGTTGGACACGGTCATTGAAGCGACCAACATGAATTTGACCCAACTCCGGGAGGCCGTGGAGGACAGGAGGGTCTGATGTACTCTGGTCCATGGGGACACGACTTAACACCTAAACAGCAACAACATATATCGTGTTTATGTACAGCGTTTCATGGGGTCATGAAGAGTCGGACACGACTTAACACCTAAACCGCAACAACATACATCATGTTCATGTACAGCGTTTCGTGCAGAACTTCTCAGAAGAGGAAATGGTGGGCTAATAAAGAAGTTATTCACAATCTTAACAGGGCCATCTTCCACAAAGGAAGCGTTCTCCTTAAGTTACCCAAAAATACTCATGTTCTGTTTTACGGAAGGCAAAGAGTCGGACACGACTTAACACCTAAACCGCAACAACATACATCATGTTCATGTACAGCGTTTCGTGCAGAACTTCTCAGAAGAGGAAATGGTGGGCTAATAAAGAAGTTATTCACAATCTTAACAGGGCCATCTTCCACAAAGGAAGCGTTCTCCTTAAGTTACCCAAAAATACTCATGTTCTGTTTTACGGAAGGCAACTAGAGATCATTATCATGGTTTGGCCGTTTGGCATGGTTTGGTGGATCGGGCCCACAGGTGTTGCGTAAGCGCCCTTAGATTCTGTGCCCCTCGGCGCCCATTCAGAAGAGGAGGTGGGGCGCAGAGTCCGGGATACCTGTGCAACACCTGTGGGCCCGATCCAGCGAACCGCACTAAAGGGCCAAACTGCAGTAAGTGTCCATCGCTAAAGGCAAACTCCATGTAAGCACTGGTTTCCTCCCATCCCCTCTACCACAGTGGTAGAGTTTGAGCAGAGAGGTCACTGAAAGGGAAGGAAGGATTGAACCCACGTTGCCATCCCAATCTGGATAGGGCCCGGTCTGTTTACCTTGGGGTGGAAAACAAATGTGAAAAGAGAAAACAGTTGCCAGCTTTGTATGAGAAGTAAAAAATTAAGGTTGACCCTCGGTATTCCTCAGAATAATCTGTCACTAAAACAGAGTATATTTAGGGTGCAACCCTATACCAGATAATAATTACTGGAAGCAAGGGGATATAATTCTTCTAAATACGTATCAGATCGTGTTACTTGTGTTTGCATTAAGATTTGTCTAGTCTCTATATAAATGTTCTATTTTTAATTGTCTTAAGACTTTCTGAAATATCTGTGGATATGAATGCCGTAGAAAACTATCCCCAAAGACAAAATTATCGCTGGAGATCGCAAGTGAGTCAAAAGGACTCCCTGAGTGAATGACAGATGAGTAAAAACATGAGAGGTATCTGGCTGTGGATCCAGAGGTTGGCAGTTCAATTCCCCGCCGTGCCGCCTGCAAAACAGAGCCAGCCTGAGGACTCTTGGGCAAGCTGCACAATCCCAGGGTTGCCTCCAGAAGACGGGAAGGGTCAACCCCTTCTAGCTGGAAAACCCTGAAAAAGGTCCTCATAAATCAGACTAACGATGGTATAATGGTGTGCAATCATTATAATTGAAACATGACAAGCATGGCCACCAAGCTAACATTCTAAGGAAAATGACATGAAAAGAAAAAGGGAAGAGGAGGGAAGAGGAAAACAAAAAGCAAATACACACACTAGGTCTTGAAGTGGTGATCCAAGCTTTCACGGTGCTCAGACAAATCAACGATCAATTATCTGTCTCACTTCTTTCCCCATGGTCTTTGGAAGAAAGCCAATACAGTGGTGCCTCGCTCGACAGTTACCCCGCATGACAGTTTTTTCACTAGACATTGACTTTTTGCGATCGCTATAGCGATTCGCAAAACAGTGATTCCTAGGGGGGACTTTCACTGGACAATGTTTGGTCCCTGCTTCACAAACTGATTTTCGCTAGACGACGATTTTGACAACTCCCTCCACGCTCGCAAAACAGGTGTATTCAGGACCTGAGCTTCGCAAGACAGCGATTTAAACAGCTGATCGGCGGTTCGCAAAGCGGCTGTCCTATGGCCGATCTTCGCTAGACAACAACGATTCTTCCCCATTGGAACGCATTAAACAGGTTTCAATGCATTCCAGTGGGGAAATGCTTTTCGCTAGACAATGATTTTGATAAACAGCAATTTCAGTGGAACGGATTATCATCGTTTAGCATGGCACCCCTGTCCTATCCTATTACAGTGGGCTTTTGAATCATCCTTACGGTTGGAAAACGCGTGGAGATCTATTCCTATGCCTTCCATATTTTTTCTCTTTTTTTCTGACAAGCTTCCTTTTACTCCCACAATATCTCAGCAGCGACCTTATTTTCAGAACATACGAACATGACACTGCACCAGCATGAGATCTGCCTTAAAATTAGGCAAAACCCTCTTCCCGCTTTCCAATATAGGTTTTGGGGAGCCCTGTTGGAACCTTTGCCAATCGCCAGTCACTTTCACCAAGCAACAGCCTTCAGCATGGCAAAAAAACACGCAGGATCTGACCCCATCTCACCTTTGACCTCCACTTGGAACGTGAGCCTGTCATTCATGGTTTCGCAAACGTAAACCCCTTCGTCTTGCTTGAGGGCACTTTTGACAATAAGCTTCCGCTGCAGCCCCTCCGAGGTAAACGTCACTCTTTGGTCTGGCTTGACATCCTTTTTACCCTTCTTCCACACGACGCCCTCGGTCACTGAGGACACCTCACAGACCAGCTCAAACTTCTCCGAGAGCTTGACCGAAATTCCAGGGGCCGAGTCGTTGAGGAAGTTTGCCACATCATCTGAAGAAGAGCAGACGTGTTGGAGGAAAGAATGCCGTGAACAGGAGTAGAAGAACGTGGTGAATTTTCCAAGCAGAGGGATTTTTTTAAAAAACGACGCATAAAGTTTTGATTGACATACACCAGTGGTTTCCAACCATTTGTAACCTCGGTGTTCGTGGACTGCAACTTCCAAAAATCGTGACCGGCACAGCTAGTGGTGAATACTTCTGAGGAACGCAGCCCATAAACACTTGGGTTACCCATGATTGGGAACCACTGATTATACCGTGAAGGGAGCATATACAAAACCTGACAATTTAGGTGCTAATACAAAATAGGAAAAGAGTATCGTAGTAGATCAAAACATTGACTCATCTAGTGCAGGGGAGTCCTGCCTGGAAGGAGCTCTCAAGGTATGACATTTTGTATGTTTAGAGTGCTAGAATTATTAAAGGAGGGTAGAAAAATGCAACCCTGAAAATGCACATTATGCCTAAGAAAATTAAGTTGGAACAGCAGTGTACTAAAGTATCTCTTTCCTAGCAAGCTAACACTTGAGCGTGGACGTATAAACACTGGTAAGAAAACCAAAATAATTGGATTGGAACTGTGATGATCTGCATGCAAAGCTTAAGCTTTTCCACTTAGCTATGATCTTTTCTCTAAAGTAAGGTTCCAGCCCCCATTGATCTCCATAAAGGGCTAATGTAAATGGGAACCCAAGAAGTGGTCTGACTTAAAGTCTATGCTGTGTTACATCCACCATAGTCTTGTACAGGCAGGGTCTCCAGAATATGTTAGAAACGGAATCCCAGCCCCCTTGTATGTGAATTATGTGTTTCCACCACCAAGCAATGTCCTTTCCCTAAAGATGAAGCTGCCTTGCAACAATTAAGAAGACCGTATTCTCAAAGGCTTTCACGGCTGGGATCCGATGGCTGTTGTGGGTTTTCCGGGCTGTTTGGCTGTGTTCTTAAGGTTGTTCTTCCTAATGTTTTGCCAGTCTCTGCATCTGGCATCTTCAGAGGACAGGAGTCAGAACTCTGTCTGTGTTCTGATGCAGTTTGTGGGATAGTTGAGTATTTAGAGCTGTGGGATCAGCTTTTGTCCTTTTCCGGAGATTGGGTGATTATGGTGATCAGTAAATTTTTTTTGTAGTGGGTGTATTGTTGTGTTAAGGGGGAGGGATGATCTGTCACTGTGATTGATGGGTGTCATTAGCTGGTCTTTTGTGTGCAGTGATCACCGGTCCTTGTGGCTGGGTAGAGTTTGTTGACCTTTTGCAAGCTGTATTTTTTCAGTGCTGGGAGCCAAGCTTTGTTGAGTTTTAAACTTCTTTTCTGTTGAAGCTCTGCTGGTGTTTGTGGATTTCAATGGCTTCCCTGTGCAGTCTAACATAATGATTGCTGGTGTTGTCCAGTACTTCAGTGTTCTGAAATAGAACAAACTGCACCAGAGCACAGACAGAGTTCTGACTCCTGCCCTCTGAAGATGCCGGCCACAGAGACTGGTGAAACGTTAGGAAGAAAAACCTTAAGAACATGGCCAAACAGCCTGGAAAACCCACAACAACCAATTAAGAAGACCTTTGGCCCGGCTGGCCCTATGTTGTCTACACAATATAGTGTGTAGACAATCTAGCAGACCGGCAGTAGTTGTTCGGGGTTTCAAAGGTGATTTTTGCCAAACACTCCTGGAACTCAATCTGCTATGGATGCAAAGATTATGTCGAACCCACTGAGTTGCCTACGTAGTTACTGTACATTTACTGCCTACTGTTGGATTAGGAATACTATTATTGCGGCTGGAAATCAGAAGCAGCAACTAACATAAAGGGACCGTGCAGAGCTAGACGCCTGTCCTGAGAAAGTGAAGACTTTCTGTAGAATTTCAGCCTGAGTAAACCGGAGAAGGGGCAAAAAGAGGGTGCCAATGAGGTTAGGATGTGTTGGCTTTTGTTTGGGGAATTATCATTTCTATTCGGCTATAGGCGGCCAGGAGCCAAACAGAGACATAATTTCACTAATAAATGCAATGAACGGCAAAGTGGCTATCTCACGAGTCCTTGGAGAGGAGATCAGCCCTTCAGAGTTTTAAGTCCGATTCAGACATTGAGAACCAGATCCTGAAATATTGTTTTTCTGATCTGTATTTCCTAAAATATCACAGCAAGGATAGCCACGGGCCATGCTGGGTGAGAGATCCTGGGAGTTGTATTCTAGCGTAGTCCGTTCTGGCTGTGTACGTCTGTTTCTTGGCCCCTGCCCTCCCCACCTCCCTTTGTCCGCCGGCATTAGCACATCTATCGTGGTTTATTTAAACCAGTTTCCCATGACGTCTGGGCAAAGGAACTGTGGTTTAGCCTTCATCTCCTCATCAGCCTCCGAAGACAAGGACACGGACTCTCGTCTTGCCAAGTTCTGAAACTGAACCCCATGCTTCTCTCAGCCGATCCCAGCCAGCCACCTCCAGCAAACCAATAACATCAAAGGATACATGGGGGGGAAAGAATACCTTTCAAGCTGATCTTGGCTGTGCTTTCGATGTTGTCATCGGTGACAAATTTCACCTCTGCCCCTTTGAAAATGCTCGTGACCCGCTTGACGGTGAGGCTGTGGGTCGTTCTGGTTCTCGTGATGATGTATTTGTCACTGTTCTGTACGAGGTTGCCGTTAACGTACCAGGAGCCCACGCAAACTTTAGTGAGATCAACGGTAAAAATGGCGTCTCGGCCGGGTGCGACTTCTACGTTTCTCAGAGGGGTTTTCACCGCCAGCACTGGCTCTGCGGGATAGAAGAGCAAAAAATTCAAACATCAGGGAGATGAAGTCCCCAAAAAGGGGAGAAAGGAGGAAAATACAACTCAGAAGTAGAGATGGGCACGAACTGCGGGTTCGGTAGTTCGTCCTGGTTCGTTTAACGCCGCAGAAGGTGTTTGGCGGTTTGATGCCCCGCCCCCACCCTGAAGGAGGCGGGGCAGGGAAGCCTGGACACTATCTCTGAGGGGGCGCCCACCAGTTAGGGGTAGGGGGTGCTGAACCGCCAAAAAACTGTTGTGGCAGTAAACGAACTCGGACGAACCACCCAGCTGGCGGTTCGTGCCCATCTCTACTCAGAACTCATTTCATATTTCGTCAAATTTCTAGTGAATTTGGATTATACACGTGAATTAAAGCTCATCATCCAAATCTTTAAAATCTAATTGTTTTGTATGAAAACGTATTTCATGCATTGCCTACTCTTGAGAGTTATGGCCAATTGTATTGAAACCTTCTCTGGTAATTGCCTTGAACGAGAGCAACACAAGTAAATTGCCTCCTGTTGGTTTTGTGGCAAAGTCTCAGAAAACTTTAGCATCTCAGTTTCTGTCTGTTGTTTTTTTAAAGTATGATTTCATCTATTCAGCACTTTTCCCCCTTTAAACTGCATTTGTCTTTAAAGCTGCTTTGCACTGACGTTATGATTCTCCCCAATGGGCAGGCTAACGCCTTCCCCACTTACAGAGTTGTACCTAAGATCAGCAGCTACCCCACATCCTAACGGACTGCAGGTTTCCCCTCTTTTGAGGCCCAAACTAGACAGCACCGTTAACCCATCATTTGAAGCCGATGCTTTCCTAGATTGATAAAAGATCTCTGATTGTCGTAGCAAGACTTTGCATCATTGCGAATTTTGCAAATTAGATTTCTCATGTTTTCTGATGGATTATCGGGAGGTGAACATTGGTTTTCTTTGCATGCCTGAAAGAATTGCATGCTTGGGGGGAGAGAAAAAATGACATATGCACCCTTCTTGACTTAATACCTGGTCCTCTTACTCACCAAGGTGCAGAGTTCCGGGAAATTCAAGACAGTCACTCTGACCATAGCTGTTGACTGCAGACACGCGGAACTGGTAATCCGCCTCTTCGGGGAGGTTGCTCACGGTGAACTCCGTTTCGGAGATGGACGATCCATGGCATTTCAGCCAGGTGAAGCCAGTGAGTTTCTTCCGCTCCACGACGTATCCATCAATGGGGATGGGGCGCTCCATTTTAGGAGGGGACCAAGCTAGCGTCACTGAGGTTTCTGTTTTATTTTTCACCACGGGGGCAACTGGGGGATGAGACGGAGGCTTCTTTGGCACTAATGAGGACAAGAAAAGAACAAGCCGTCAATTCGCAGGAAAAGAAATTCGTGTCGTTTCAGAAATAGGCATTTTAAATCATCCATGTTCCACTATTTTTCTGAAAGAGAAATTCAAAGAAACAAAGCGCTTTTCTATTCTACTATTCAATCATTTTTAAAAAATTTACTTTTGTTTCAGCAATAAGAGAAACAAACCGTTAAAATGCCAATTATTATATGAAGTATAGAAAATCCAGTTTTTTATACTTTGCAAGTGGACATGAACATACATTTTTCCAGCATTTTGCAACTGCCAAAACAGGCCTGGTTACTTTAAAAGCCACCTTTATTTTTCTTCTGTGTTTTTTTTTTAAGTTTGCAAGTATATACACCAGGTCCTGACAGGTTATCAAACAGGACTTCACTACTAACAAATGACACAGAAAAACATACTACCTATATTCTCAGTGATTCGGCAGCGACTACCTGTTAGATGATGAACGTTTGCAGTGGTGGCAATTTATGGCATTTTTCTAAATTTTGCTTTGTTTACACAGACACAGAAGAAGCCCAAAGGGTGGTTTCAAGAAAGCGAATGAGGTCACAGGCCTGCCAACAAAATCATAGCCCCCACCTTTTTTTTTTGTGTGGTGTGTGTGTGTGTGTGTGTGTGTGTGTGTGTTTGCGCACACACAAAATAGTCTCCCAAAATTCCCCGCATGCAGACAGTGAAGGGATGGATGGGAACAGAGAATGTGGCCGTATATTCTTGTCCTCTGCCTGGCTGACATCATCCTGCTGGTCTCCTGGTTTCTGAGTCTTGAGATGCCAAGGATCTTTTGGCTGCGATCCATAACCGCAGAAACTTTGATGACTATATTTTGCACAGGCTGCTGGCTGATGATCGTTCAAACAGGTGGAGCAACCATATACCTTTTCCCGTGCAACCCTCGTGTAATCAACCACATTTCTCTCTCGTTCATTTCTGGGACACACAGCGGCGTTTCCATAGACACCCCCACCCCAACTGAGTAGGATGCACAACCAAGGGCCAAGGTTTCAGCGTGAATCGCACTAACGTCTTCAAAAAAAGACCTGGGAAATTTTCCATGATGCCAACAAGGCCATCTTCTGACAAAGCAACCCAACCTCTTAAGGCACAAAGCATAGACAGAAGGAACATCAACCAGATGCACCCACTTTTCCTTAGCTACCTACCTATCTATATCAATATCAGAGTCACAAGACACACGGTTCTCCTGCCCCCTGGCCGTTTAATGCGAAAACCAGGTCTTCAGTGTGCCTGCCAATTTAACACGCAGCTGAAGTTCAGTAGGTTGGCTAAATACTGAAATCAGATCAAAGGGGCCCCCACTCTTGGGAGACGATGTTTTGCAACATGCAGGCAGAGTTTCCCTTTTTTTAAAACTGCACTCCTTAGTTCATTTTATTCTACATGAGATGAAAACAGTCGGAACTCAATGGGCCACTGTTTATCCTATGATCGACGACGTGTCTTCATGCTAGGAACCCAACCAGTGGATTTTCGTCCTAACAGCGTGCTTGCAACTAGACATCGCTGGGAATAGGCACAGAAGGTGCGCCAGTTTTAATTGTCCCAAGGCACTCCTGGCCACTGACAAAACCTGGGCATCCAGGCTCAAGGATGAATCCAGGAGTACAGTATGCCCAAGCTGCAAACTTCATGTCATGGGGGTGAGTGGATGCACACAACCCTGTCTTCTATTTGTAATCCCTCTATGTTTGCCAGTTTGCCAACTGTGAATAGAGGCACACTCGTGTTAGAATGAGCAGACCGCCTTTTCTGCTTAAGGGTGCACTGCTTCTAGATATGGAATCAACAACACGTCTGATGAAGCCCTCGGGCTCCTGTTCCCAACGCGTCATAAGCTTTTCTGAATGAGTTTAGACCCGTCGTTGCTCCTCAGGTTAATCTAACTCTTGGTAGTGGCAGGTGGAGTGCACAATACAACAGAACCTCATGTGTTGATCCCAGTATATCCCAGTTCAGCTGCTAGTTCTTCACCATAAACAGCACCAGGAAGTATCTCTAGGAGGCAAAATTGGACCAGCAGTTTGAAAGAACTTTGCTCATAGGTACTGATGATAGGGACATGATGGCGCTGCGGGTTAAACCGCAGAAGCCTCTGGGCTGCAAGGTCGGAAGACCAGCCGTCGTAAGATCGAATCCATGTGACAGAATGAGCCCCCGTCACTTGTCCCAGCTCCTGCCAACCTAGCCGTTCGAAAGCATGTAAAGATGCAAGTCGATAAATAGGTACCACCTCAGTGGGAAGGTCACGGCATTTTCCGTGTCTAGTCCCGCTGGCCACATGACCATGGAAACTGTCTTCGGACAAACGCTGGCTCTATGGCTTGGAAACGGAGATGAGCACCGTGCCCTAGAGTCAGACACAACTGGACTAAAGGTCAAAGGGAACCTTTACCTTTATCTTACTGTTCAAGAAAAAGAACTCTAGCTTTCTCCTTGAAGTGGCACGTTACCACTTTTCTTGGTAGAACTGCCTGAAATCTGATCTTCCAGCTTTGGGTGACATGCTGGCTGCTTACCTTCTAAGCGAGGCCAAATTTGACCACCATTACCTAGTGATTAGTCGACTCCTGATTAATCTATTGTAAGGCATGATTGACAGAGCTCTCCTTGAAAATGGTGCAGGAAGCCACAGCTTCTGTAAGCAGCATCAAGCAGGCCACCGCCTGGTATGTTTCTCAGAGACACTGGCCAACATCCTTTTACGTGTGTGCAAAAGGAAACCTCATAGGTTTCTGTAGCTTTTCACCTACAAAGTTGGCACCCAGCTCTTTCAAAAAACCTCCTCCTTTAATATGAGTTTGACCGGAATTTGAGGTCCATCTGAGTTCTTATTTTCTGTTCCACTCTCCCCATGGCAAATCAGGCTGGCTCCATCGCTACGGATTGGTGTTTATTTTATCAGGCTTTTTAAAATTTAGCCTGCTAGAGAGCTCGGTAGTTTAAAGGTCTGTTTGTGGAGCCAGGGGTTGGGAATTCGAATCTGTGCCTCTCGGGAGAAGAGCCAGCCTGGGTGGCCTTGGGCCAGCTGCACCGTCCCAGGGCTCCCCCTAGAGGAAGGAAATGGGGATGAGTGCTCGTTACCTAGAAAATGCTGGAGAAAGCGTTGGCCAAAAGTCAGAATCAACTTGATGGAAAACCATGATTTTTATTGAAAATGTTAAAAGGAAAAGCAGCTCACCAGAGACTGTAAACTGGGTGGATGTTCTGCAGTCGTCAGCCACAAACACGATCTCCCCCGAATCCTCTATTTTGCAATCCCGGATTATCAGGCTGAACTCCTTGCCGGAGGAAGTGATGGATATCCTTTTGTTCGGCTTCAGTTCTTCCTTATTTTTCAGCCACCGGAACGTCTGGCACTTGTTTTCTAGCTCCACACAGAAGATCGCTGTGTCACTCAGACTGACGGCCGTCTTCCTGGGCAGCTTCTTGATAATGTTTCCTAAATAAGAAGGTGTTCGGGGGGGGGGGGAGAATGATTTTTAAAGAAGAACCCCAGCAAATCAGTTTTCAGGACACGTGTTTAAACACAACCGCTTTGAAACTGGAAAAAGTCTTTCAGTGCTTCAATGAATGCAAATGTTGATTAAACAAACAAGATTTTGTGGATTCCAACCTATGTCGTTTATTGATGCATGCCTTCCTTTAAAATATTTTTGCCCTGCCTTTCTCCTTAAAAGGACTGAAGGCTGGTTAGATTAAAAACATGAACAAGGCAGTATTTAAAAGCTAAAAACAGTAAGTATACAAATATTTAAAAAGAATTTAATAGTAATTTAATAATAAAGAGAGTCACTCTCCCAATTTAAGAATAGAGTCACTCCCCCAATTATGTTGTCTGATTGTCACATCAAACAGTAAGGCTAAACTAATTTGAGCTTGCTAGGGTGCAAGGACATGAAACACTGATTCCATATCTAGAAGCAGTGCACCTTTAAGAGGAAAACCCTCTGTTTCTTCTATTTTTATTTATTTATTTATTTATTTATTTATTTATTCATTCATTCATTTATTCATTCATTCATTTATTCATTCATTCGTTCGTTCGTTCGTTCGTTCGTTCGTTCGTTCGTTTGTTTGTTTGTTTAGACTTTTATCCCACCCTTATAGACAATGTCTACTTAGGGCGGTCACAATAAAATCATTCATAAAAGCAGTTAAAAGGATAAATTAAACTGACATATTAGTGTTCTAATCAAAGCTTGTCTCCATCCACATTTGGCAAGTTAGCTTGCTTTTGCTTTGTAACTGGCCCATAGGGAGACAGCTGTTTTTTCCATGATAGCTGGGGCATGTAGCACTAAAATACTTGCATGCCTAGAGGGATAAAGCTATAAGACAAAGAAAGCGACATTCGTCTTAACAGAACTGTAGATTCTAAAGACAAGAATCTCCATCATTTGGATCTTGCCTTTAAGCATCCTGGAGACAAAAGTCCCCCCCACCCCCGAGAACCTAAACTTCCTGGTACTGGATTGTTTCTTGTGATTTATGGAAGGCACACTTCAACGGTTTGAGAGCCACACGGCATTGGGGCAGCTGTGCAGTCAGAGAATGAAAGAAGAGTCACAAACGGCTCAGCAATGGCAACTGCCCCATTTCCCCAGAAATAAGACGTAGCCTGAAAATAAGCCCTAGTGGGATTTTGCAGGATGCTCGTAATAGAAGCCCTACCCCAAAAATAAACCCCAGTGAAGTGAACCCCCACCTTCCATCCTTGTGCAGCAACCAGAAGAAGAGGACAGGACTGTCTTTGAATCAATGTTGATGGTTAAGTACAGGGGAGGGGGGAATCCTCTGAAAATAATCCCTAATGCGATTTTTGGAGCAAAAATGGATATCAGACCCTGACTTATTTTCAGGGAAACATGATATATGTGGAGATGCTAAAGAAAAAACTAATGCAGGAAGCAGGCCAGAGATGACATTTCTGGGGTTTGTCATGGCCTGTCATCGCGACACGTCACGACTGTCCGGCTCAGGCAGTGAGTTGGACGGCTCCAGCGCAGCGGCTTCTGCCATAATGTGACACAGAGAGTCAGAGGTGCCTCCCATCACCCACGCACAGCATCTGCAGTAGCCTAAGACCTGGACCCACTTGGTTCCCGACACCCTGTGGGGTGCCAGAAGCATCCCGGCTGCAGAGAGAGGCGGTGGACACCCCATGCAGCGGAAAGGGTGCGAACGATCACAGAGTGGAATAACCGCGGCTTCTGCTACAGCAACAGTGTGCTTCCGTAATACATCCAAGGCCCTCGTCGCTGTGGGGACCCCCACAAAATACTGGCTGCCTGAGGCCAAGGACAATGTCACGCTCTGCATCCACCATTCGACGCACAACAAGTTCAGCCAAACTGATTTCCTGCCCGCCCTCTTTCTTCAAGCAGTGGGGCTGTCCCCAATGAACCTGAGGGGAGGCAGGGTGGTCTGTGGGACGTGGGCCAGGCAAGGTCCTGTGGCACACACATTGAGCTGTACGCTCCCATTGAGGGCAATGGGAAGGGGGGCTGGGAAGAATGGCTGGACGACTTTGGCTGCCCGCCGGGCACCCTGGTTGACAGTGGGTCGGGCTGGCCTCAAACGCCACAGGGCTCCATGGGAAGGGATCATGTCCACAAGAGCACACACAGAAGAAGAACACACCTTTGATCAGATCACATAGGATACATAGAGGCACATGTTTTTGGTTCCTCAAAGAGTCTCTGTAAAGGATTAAGGCCAGCCGGGTTTTCTTTGCCTGGGTGGGCGATCTCCCTTCTAGATCGGACAAGCCAACGGACACAGCACAGCTAGGTTTGACTCTCTCTTCCCCAGGAGAATATGAAGACCCATCTTATGTAAACTGAACTCCGAAACTGGACCATCTCACGGCACAATACCTTTTTGCTATCACCTCGGAAGTCTCCTACAGCTGGGTTTTGTCTCTCTTCCCCCAGGAGAATATCAAGACCCGTCTTATGTAAACTGAACTCTGAAACTGGACCATCTCAGAGCACAATACCTTTTTGCTATCACCTTGGAAGTCTCCCTTTCAACCAACTTTGTAACCTCTTTGCAAGATAATTAAATGGCTTTCCGGTCAGAACAATACAGCAACGCAACAGAACAATACAGCAACGCAACCATATATTTCCATAATTGCAATCTATAGACCCACCCTGTTGTAAAAATCTATCCCTTCTGTGATTCCCACTCCGATCAAGTTTGGATTCCTTTATAATCCCATCCCTTCTGCTAACCACCCATTTCCACTCACTTCTCCTCCCGACTCTACTGGCCAGAATCCTCCTGGTGCACAACGAGGTATATAAGCTGTAACTATGTAACTAGCAGCAGATCATGACTTTGGTTTACGCCATAGACAAGTATTGTGTCTATAAACTAAAAGCAGTGAATTGCCACAAGTTAACTAGTGACTGCTTGCATCTCTCGGTGCATCAACCCACACAATTGGCATGGTGTGAGGGACCGGAGCTGTCACTTGGTTAACTAGTGGCAAATCCAGCCTTGCAACTTCACTGGCCTAACTAACCGGTAGATTCTGGCCATTATTTTAAAGAAATCGCACAACAGCGGATGGTGTGATTCTCATGGTGCGCCAAAATGGTATCGCTGTTTCAGAATTGCTTGAAAACCTTGGGGTGGGGGAGGTTGATTTTACTGGAGAAATCTCAAGAAGAAGGGCTGATTCATGATTTTCCCCAGTTCACTGATTTCCATTTACACTATGCTATTTCTTCCATAAGCTTCCAGATACGTATTTTCAATGTCTAGGGCTAAAACGACACAATGGAATCCACTCTGCATTCGGAAGCAGAGTTCCTTAATTGGCAAAAGACGTCTCTTGGTCCTAGGATGCCCTTTTTTCACTTCTGTAACTTGTAAATTCATTTGCCTTGTTGGCCACACCAGCAGTTAGACCAGTCTAATCACTTGGGCAGAAAGCTCTGCTTACTGGAAATAGTGGTGCTATCAGGTTGTAATGGCGAATCAATCATCTTCTGCTCTTTAACTCAGAGATGTTGCTTTGCAGCAGGAGACGAAGAGGGAAATGGCAAAGGGAGGCGTGAGTGACCCTTCCCCCCCCTCCATTGCATCTTCAAGACTAGTCACCTAAAGCTATCTTTGCTCATTAGGAGTCCTACTGGAATTCTGTCACTCCTGTTGATAGACCCCCTGTGTTGTTGTACAGGAGTCTCTACAACCTCGCATGCTATGGTTTGAGTGACTGGGAAGGATTTTTCTGGACTTGGGTGACTGTCAATCTATCCGGCACTCACCAATCATTCCCTCCTGCCTCTAAATTCAAAGAAAGCCCCGCCTCTCTAGCGGATGTTCTTTACCCTCTCTTTAGTCTATTGGAAGCAGTGTTGTTATGTTTGGTTTGCTGTTGATCTATTCACAACCGTAAGTAATGAAACGTTTTTCTTCTTCCCCCTACACATATCTCAGAGTGAGTTAGTGAGACCTGAAGTGCCATTTGATGAGAAAGAAGCGGAATTGCCTGGCAAACGTCTTGCTATTCTCCTCCGTGAGTCGCTGTACTTCTAGAGCTTAGCAAAGGAATTTTTTAACCAGGAATTCAAAATTCTGCAATCGGTTCTATGTACAGAATGCAATTTGCTTGGGAGAATTGCAAGGTTAGAAGGCTCTTTAATGCCCATTTCTGTCGTCTCATGCACTGCTCATCATTGGCACCACATGAGTGGTCAGAGAGGAGCTAGTGTAAGAAGTTTCTGAAGGGAAAAAAAAAAGCCCGTGGGCATCATTTCTCCTTACCTTGGACTGTCAGTTCCGCAATCGTTCTGCTCCCTTCTTTCATTTCACAGATGTACACGGCATCGTCGTCCATAGTCACGTTCTGGACAGTCAGCTTGCGGTTCGTCCCGTCCTCCTCGATATTGTACTTCTGACTCTGCTGAAGCTTCGTTTCCTCTTTGAACCAGGTGGTTTGCGTGCTGGCAACAGGAACCTCGCACTGGAAAATGGCCGACTCTTTTTCACGGACTTCCAAATCTCTCAGTTTCGTCTTGAAAGGTATTCTGGGTTCTTTAGGAACAAAGGGAGAAAACCGCAACAGTGAAACCACAATCCCACAAAACGGGGCAAAAACGTGCTATAAAGATGGGTGAAAAGGTATCTCAAGAGGCGAATGCAAACTTTTCACAATTTGTCCTCGTGGTAAACCATGTTAAGATAAGCAGGAAATTTATCTAAAACCACCCACATCTGATATTCTGCCATAATGCCAGCCTGGTTTGATTCATTTGTTATTTATTATAATTGCAGTTACTTCAGTCCTTAATTGAGCTCTGTTGGAATTCGCATTTCCATGTCACCTGTTCTGTCTGAAACCGCTGAATATCTAAGGTGGCAGATTCAGAAACCTGCAGGTCTCTGCTCATGCAAATGTTGCTAAGGCGAGCATTATGGCGTCCATCTTTTTCTGCCTCAATTACTGTCAGTTTTTCGGGCTTTGGGCAGGGCTTGGTGTGAGGACAATGGGCAGTTAAAAATGGTTCTGGTGAGAACCTACAGAGGAGATTGAATCACAGTTTCCCGTAGTACAGCTCCTTTTATTTCTGACTCCATAACTCTAACACACAGACCGAATGCTAACTGAACCCTGACTGTGGGAAAATGTGGGTGAAAGAATCTGAGGTTGAAAGAGGGAACTATTGGCTCTCCCATCCGAAAGAACCTTAAAGGTGTCATATATCCAACAATTACCAAGTATCCGCAGTATTACAGTGTAAAATGCAGGATGATGTATTTCAACCCTCCTTCCTGTGGGAAGGGTTTGTTTGTTTGTTTGTTTGTTTGTTTGTCTGTTCGTTCGTTCGTTCGTTTCTTTCTTCGTTCGTTCGTTCAGGAAGAAATCCTCAATTGTCACTAAGGTGAGACAAGAATCTCCTCTCGGAACATTAACACGGAGCCCAATTGAATCCTGCACGCCTTCCTTCCTTCCTTCCTTCCTTCCTTCATTCATTCATTCATTCATTCATTCATTCATTCATTCATTCATTCATTCATGAAGAAATCCTCAATTGTCACTAAGATGAGAATTTGCTACTTTTTGAGTCCCCATGTCGGAGCAGGTGAATTTAGCGGGAAAATGCATCTGTGGGGGAAAGTTACATTTCCTCAACCCATTTTGGATTTAGCCTCCACGCGTGTCTCACCACCGGCAGTGGTCCATTACGTGGAGACACAGGAGAGAGCTTCCTTAACTCGATGGTGCAAGAATCACCTCTCGGAACATTAACACGGAGCCTAATTGAATCCTGCACACCTGCAGAACCACTGCCAAACAGCATCAACAGAATATGCCACCCAGGGTAGCCCATTTGTCTAGATGGGTGGGGTATAAATCTAATAAAATAAATAATATAAATAAAATAAGGTAGATGAACGGGTTGACTGATTTGGTACAAGTCAACATCCTTGGTTTCATTAATCCATCAGTTAATCAGCTAGACAAGCGATTTGCCATTGGGTAAAAAGGTCCAAATTAATTAGAGACTGGATTTCGAAAAATGCATCGTGATCATTTCAGTCTTGTTCAATTCCACGTGTATTTCTAAAACTTCAGGTGCCCACCCCCACCTTTCAAAATGGCCTTTCCTGGCAGTCTCTATCTTAAGACGTCACCTGTTTGTTGCAGGTGTGCCATAGATGTTCATAATTTAAAAACGAAGAAAACGGGGTGTGTGTTTTTTCCTGCAGCTATTCAGGTTCCCATTCACAAAGGCTGAAGTTCCTACGATTAATAAACCGATCACTCTTTAGGGACAGGACAGGCCAGATAGTTTAGCTGAACATTTCTAACTTGCATCGTCCGTCCGTCTTTAATTGTGAACCTACCAGCTCAGCTATTTTTTCTCTAAAATGCATCGTGATCATTTCAGTCTTGTTCAATTCCACGTGTATTTCTAAAACTTCAGGTGCCCACCCCCACCTTTCAAAATGGCCTTTCCTGGCAGTCTCTATCTTAAGACGTCACCTGTTTGTTGCAGGTGTGCCATAGATGTTCATAATTTAAAAACGAAGAAAACGGGGTGTGTGTTTTTTCCTGCAGCTATTCAGGTTCCCATTCACAAAGGCTGAAGTTCCTACGATTAATAAACCGATCACTTTTTAGGGATGGGACAGGCCAGATAGTTTAACTGAACATTTCTAACTTGCATCGTCCGTCTTCGCTTGTGAACCTACCAGCTCAGCTATTTTTTTTCCTCTCTCCCTGGAAGAGAAACCTCCTGCTGAAGTTTGGAAAGGCCAGGAAGAAGCAGAGCCTCTCCCAGCGCCCACCAAGAGGGTTGTGCCAGCGGTGGGTGTGAAGGCCATCAATCACTACCAACTGTGTAACAGTCCACTTGTTGGGCACAACAAGTCAAGTTTCCACAACAGCAAACAACATGGATCTTCGCTCCGTTTTGGAATACTTTGGCGTACTTAAAATAATTGACTAATTTGAAAGTTACTCTGTTTTGTTCCAGATTAAAGGCTGGTCTTTTGCTTCTTGGAAAAAAAAAGGATATTGTACAGTTCTCTTGGCAGTGTTCCTTTAGAATTCAATAATGCAGGCTACACATTGCCCCCCCCCAACCGCTCCATGAGATGGGTACTCAATTTACCAATTTCGGAAGGATGGAAGGCTGAGCCGTGCCAGCTACCCGAACCCGTTGGGAAAAAGGCTGAGCCAACCTTGAGCCGGCTACCTTAGCCTGGGAATGAACTTGGCTCATGAGCAGAGTCTCCACTGCAGTGCTGCAGCTGAACCATTACACCACGAGGCGCCTCCTGAACGTGATTTTAGATAGGGTCATCCCATCCCATCACACATCTGTTACTCCTCTTCTCTACGTTCAAGTAATGCATGCAGGAACGACCTCACATCTGGTGCCATAAACTGATTTAAAACGACAAGCCATCTGATGGTGGAAACGAGGCACGAAAGTTTATAAAGGTAAATGGGCCCAGAATAACCCAGCTAAATCTATAATGTGGCCATGAGCTGGGTCCTCGTTTTACGAGTCTTAGAAGGATGGAAGGCTGAGCCAATCTTCAGCCGGCTACCCGAACCCATCGGGAAGGGATGGGAGGAACCTCAGGTGGGTGGAAGAGCATCCCATATCCCGGAAGATGGACTGGGAGCGTGAACAGGGACATTCCACGCTGCAACATTTTGTTGCAGGCCCCACTTGGGAATATGGCGGATAAAACAGGAATGGCGGTAGAAGCTGTCCTAGCCCTAAATAAACTGTATTTTAGGAGGAGGGTGAGAAGCAGGGAAGCGAAGCCTCTGGGACGGAGCGCTTGAGTCTTCTTGCTGAGTGTGCTTAGGAGGGAAAGGGGCCAAGAGAGCTGCCTTTTGGGGCTGTGTTTGTGCTTGACGACACCTGTCACCACCATGAAAGGAGACAGAGGACCCCCCCCCATGGCCCGTTTTGACTCCGGTGGCCAAACAGCTGTCAGCCGTGCGGCCACTGCCTGACGAGGAGCTGACGGACATGGACAGCCTGCATTTAAGCACCTCATATTTGCTGGTTAGCTCACGGCGGAACAAGCACACGGTGGCCTGTTAATCACCCGATCGTGCGGCGTTTGCCGGATCACCGCCTTGATGCTGGAGAATCAGAAGCCTCATCCTTCCATCTGTCGGCACATCCACAAGGGAATGACTTCAGGGCTGGAAACTCTCATTCAGATGCCTGCGAGGCTTCCGTCCCTTTCGAGGATAAGGCGGCTTCGGCAGACAGGGGCGATCAGAATGACAAGCCGGGAAGGACCGGGTGCCCAAGAAGAAGGGGCATCTCCGTCCATTCACCCAACCTCATCCCTTACTCCCCAACACACACACAGACACACACCAGGAAAGAAACCCAGTCAGGCAGGCCTTGGGCAGCTGGATGACAGATTTGCGGCACTTTTCTATTATTTTAGAGGAATCAACTACTCTTTTTGAATGGGTTATTTTTTTAGATGGGTTTTACTTGCACTTTGCTTTAATGTGGTAATCAGTTTCATGGTGCTTGATTATTTATAGCGTTCTCTTTTCTAATTCTACTTGTTCACCTATTCTACTGAAAGCTACTTTGGGTCCCAATTTGGGAGAAAGGTGGGATAGACATCGAAGGAAGGAAGGAAGGAAGGAAGGAAATTGCAAAGGAAAGCAATAATCCTGTTATTGGGGACAAATAACTCCACTGGACATTTGTGCTCACAACTCATAGGGTCATCATCAACAGTGAAAAAATACATGTTGCTAGAAATGTGCTTTCAAAGAATCCTGCCCATCATTGTTTGCTTGTATGTTACAGCCATTTGGAGCAGGCAAATGGATCATAATATTGTGGTAAACCACATGCTTTACACCATTTTGAATGGGTTATTTTTTTAGATGGGTTTTACTTGCATTTTGCTTTAATGTGGTAATCAGTTTCATGGTGCTTGATTATTTATAGCGTTCTCTTTTCTAATTCTACTTGTTCACCTATTCTACTGAAAGCTACTTTGGGTCCCAATTTGGGAGAAAGGTGGGATAGACATCGAAGGAAGGAAGGAAGGAAGGAAGGAAATTGCAAAGGAAAGCAATAATCCTGTTATTGGGGACAAATAACTCCACTGGACATTTGTGCTCACAACTCATAGGGTCATCATCAACAGTGAAAAAATACATGTTGCTAGAAATGTGCTTTCAAAGAATCCTGCCCATCATTAGAAGGGATCAAAAGACCAAAATGTTTGCTTGTATGTTATAGCCATTTGGAGCAGGCAAATGGACCATAATGTCGTAGTAAACCACATGCTTTACACCCGGTTCCTGAAGCAGGGAACCGATCATCACAAACCGAAATTCCCCCATAGGAAACATTGTTTTGTGATCGCAAAAGCGACCGCAAAAAGTTCATCGTAATGCGATTTTGTCGTTGAACGAAGCGATCGTAATGCGAGACACCACTATATGTCAATTTTTCTCTGCTGACACACAGTAGTGTTAATCCTGGCAGTACTAGAATATACTGTATGTTGATTTTTCTCTGCTGACACACAGAATAGACCCTCCTAGGTCTTGAGAAGGACAAATCCTGCTTGGACAGAGCAAGGACGTTAGGGAGAACCTTTGCCCCCCTGTACCTGGCAAAGAACCAGGCCCCATCCTCGCTACAGAACGAGTTACTCCCAATGGGGTTGGAATTTGTCTTTAGCACAAGCCATTGTGGTTAGGCTACCAACATGAATTTGACCCAACTCCGGGAGGCAGTGGAAGACAGGAGGGCCTGGCATGCTCTGGTCCATGGGGTCACGAAGAGTCGGACACATCTTAACAACTAAACAAAACAACATTGTGGTTAGGGTGACCCCTCTTACGAAACCGTATCTACTCACCTTTGACTGTGACCAGCACAGAGCTGTAGGTCTGCCCTGCCAGGTTGGAGGCGGTACAGGTGTACAGACCATTATCCACCTGCTTGCAAAAGAGAATCTTGAGCACAAAGTTCTCCTGTTCGTCCTCGTAGATGATGTGCCTCCTGCCTTCCGGGATGACCTCGCTGTCCTTCTTCCAGACGATCTCCGGCTTGGGCTCTCCGGTCACGTAGCAGCTCATCTTGGCGTGCTTCCCCTCCGTCACGGTGAAAGTCCGTGTCGTCACGCCGTAGTACGAGCCGCCATCGCCCCGGAAGCCCTTGGCGGTCAAGCTGGCGGCCCTCTCGTAGTCAAGGGAGAGGTTCAGGCCAAATTTGGACCGTCCTTCCGGGGAAGAGATGAGGGCGTCCGTGGTGGAGTAATCGGTCTTCCTGATTTCTTCCCTCCTTTTCTGCAAGTGTGACAACAAAGGGGAGGTTTTGCTGCCACCCACGTCGACGCCGGGTCTGGTGCCCCCCAAGCTGTGGGAATCTGGCGCGTCCACCACCAGAGCAGCTGCCGCACTGGCAGCGCCCAGAGGATTCTCGGCCCGGCAGGTGTACGTCCCGCTGTCGACCAGCCGAGTGTTTTGGATCTTGAGTGCGTTTTTCTCCCCCTGAGATTCAATCTGGATGCGGTTCGATTCTGACCGTCCCCCCAGGTGCCTCCCATCTTTCTCCCAGTTTACGGAAAGAGGAGGGCTGCCTTGGACGATGCATTTGAACATGGCGTCCTCTCCCATGATGACTCTGATGGAGGTGGGCTTCTGGATGAAGTAAGGGGCCGACTCGGTCACGGTGGTCTGCTCTCCGACTTTGATACTGACCGCCGCGAAAGCTTCCCCGATGGTGTTCTTGGCCCTGCAGATGTACTGGCCGCTGTCCTCCAGGTTCAGGTCATAAATGGTCAAGCGGTACAGGTCGCCGTCTTCCACCATTTTGAACCTTCCTCCTGTGTGGATTGGAAGCTTGTCCTTTTCCCAGCTGACCATGGGGATCGGGTTGCCCATAATCTGGCAACTCAAGGTGGCATCTTTGCCCATGGACACCACGAAGGCTTTCGGTCTGGTCAAGAACCTCGGAACGCCGCTGTACGAGCTGAACTCCATCGCGGTAGCCTAGCAAAGAGAAAAGAAAGAAGCGAAGAACAAACCGCCATGAGAAAGTTTGATCCTGACAAGCCACCCTTTTTTGGATTTCCTAAACTAGGGTTGCAGTTTTGACACAGTCAGCGTAGCTGCTGGGGGGCCAGGAGAGAGGGGTGGAATCAGATATTTCATACAGAGAGGGAACACAGCCATTTTACAGGTATAAGGTGGGCAAAGCAAAAAAGGGACAGGGGTGGGCCAGGCCGGTTGTCTGGAGCAGAGTCATTTTACAGGTATAAGGTGGGCAAAGCAAAGAGGGACGGGGTGGGCCAGGATGGTTGTCTGGAGCAGAGTCCACCTTTCTCTTTTGCTACTCTGGAACTCCCTCCCACAAGAGGCTAGGCTGGCCTGCCATCTTTGCTGTCCTTCTGCAAGCAGGCAATGACCGTTTTATTGATTGATTGGTTGTTTGTTTGTTTGTTGTTGTTGTTGTTATTTTATTATTATAAAACAGAAAACAAATACAAGAACAAAAATCCAAAAATCCAAATACAGTGGACCCTTGACTTACAGACGGCTTGACTTACAGACTTTTTGAGTTACAGACTTCTCTGGCCGCAAAATTTAGGTTTGACTTGCAGCCTGAGAATTGACTTACAGACAGACCAGAAAAAAACCAAAATGGAACAAAAACGGCCTGTTACAGGATTAATCGGTTTTCAATGCACTGTAGGTCAATGGAGACTTGACTTACAGACTTTTTGACTTGAGAACCGCCTTCCAATACGGATTAAGTTCTCAAGTCAAGACCCCACTGTAATAGTGCTTGCTATACACTAAATTCTACCGTGCACCCCATACCCACGGGACCCCATTGAACAATACTTTTATTACAAACTTCCTTTCTAAAATTGTATAGATTGTTGTTTAGAAGCTTTCCCCTTTCCTTTCACCAATACAAATTCAACAAATCTACCCCAAATAGCATAAAAAATATTGGAATTTATTGCCCCTCTTTTCATCTTGAGTTCAATAGTCACTTTATCGTTTAATGCAATGTCCCATACTTCACCATACCAATCTTCTAATTTAATATCATTTTTGCAATGACCGTTTTCTTTAGGTTTCCTTGAAGTGAATGGTTTGACTAAGTGGATTTTTTTTAAAGGGAGCATTTTATTCTGTGTTTTACATGTGTTTTGAATATTGTTCTTCTTCATGCTTTTTAAATATTGTCATAATTTATTATTTGGCTTTCAACTTTGGGAGAGAGGCCTCCTATAAATATTTTAAATAGATAAATAGGTATCTAATAAGGGCCACACAGAGCTTGGCTTCCTAAACATAAGCGGAAAGAGCCAACTCCTGTCTTGAAAGAGCAAGTAAATCAGTCCCACGTATCAACCTTAGATTAGATTAGGCATCCTTCAGTCTCGAGAGACTATGGTAATGTGCTCTGTATGGAGGACTTGGAACAGCGTCTAGTGTGGCTGAGAAGGCCAATTCGAGAGTGACAACAATCCCTTCCACACTGAAGACAAATACAATCTGTCCCCCATCCAGCTCCCTGGTTTTGCTGCTTTCGGGACTGCCTCTTGGCCTCGGCCTGCTGGACAAGGATCTCTTCAAATTGGGAGATGCCGTGATGCAATGCCTGCCTTCAGGCTGAACGCTCAGAGGTCAAAGTTTCCCATCTGTTGAGGTCCATTCTTAAGGCCTTCGGATCGTGTTTCCAGATATCCAGTGGTCTCCCTCTGGGGAGATTTCCCTGCACTAATTCTCCATACAGGAGATCTTTTGGAATCTTCAAATCTCAAAGAATGAGATGCTGCTGAATCGGCAACCCTAGATCTGAGGTCAATTTCCACGGTCTCAGGATGTGTCCTTCAGACATGGTTCAAAAGCACACTTGTCTTTCGAGGTGAGCAGAGGCATGTTTTCTGCCCATCAAAACCTTCACACCTCTACTGTGTGTGGTCTACTCTAGGGCTACTGGCATGGAACTGATCCTTTGCTGTTTCATCCTTTCCTTTTGCAACAAGCCTCCTGGATTGACGACCCCCATCTTGCATTTCATTTAACAGTCTGCATGCTAACAGCTAGAGTCTGCAAAGCAATTCCAACAGATTTCAGGAGACAGATCTATTTCACTGGAGCACAGAGCTTTAAATTCAATACAGTGTCCCCAGATGGTCTGTAAGTCACACACACACACAAGCCATTTTGCTCTCTTCCCAATGGACTTGTGTGCTCACGATAGTCCCAAAGTCCTGCGTTTAGGCTTCCGTTTTTTAACTCTGAGACTCCAGTTTCCGGATTCACCTTCCAGGTTTCTGGATTTAGCAAGGGGCAGGATGTCATTGACATGGCATCCATCCTTGCCAATGTATTTGTCTTTAGCGCCCGGTTGCTCTTGGCTATTTCACTGAAAATTGAGAATAGGGGAATATTCATATTTTCCGCCCCCAAAAAAGTATGCTATGTGATCTGGACTGCCCCTGCCCCTTGGCAAAAATATTTTAAAACCCAAGTGATCCATCCTCCCAAATCATGTCATTACATCAGCTTATGAATGAGTTGTTTTTCAATAGCATCATCAAATGACACACCCTCTGATACCAGTTCTCCATTGAGATCATGAGCTCTAGGAGCAAGTGAAATAATACCTTTAGTTAGATCACATTACGTTAGAAATGTAATACCCCTCTAATAACAAGCGTATGACGGTCATAAACTAGCGTCTTCCGTCGTTTATTTAATATCCTTTTTGGAATTACTTCCTTTGGTAACAAATCGCCAGATTTCGAGAGAGACGATTCTGTAGGTTAAATCTATATTATGGGGAAACATCTTTAGTTTTTTTGGACTGTTCTGAATCTCTCACCATTTAAGCTCCATTGAATAACAACCCACTTCTGTTTTCATCACACCACGCCTAGTTTTATATAACTTTGTCCTACATTTGCCTTTCTTCACAGAAATACGCTATACAGCTCTGGATGAAGGAAAGGCGAGGCCTTTTCTCATTGGCCCTAAGAATTTAAGTCGCTGTGATGTCCACCGACACATCATTTAATTAAGCCGTCTTGGGGTCCTTTTAAGGAGAAAGGTGGGCGAAACAGATTTTAAATGAATAAATTATAAATCCATTCATTCCCTCTGGCAAGGTATCGCTGGCTTGTGCAAAAACTGGGGGGGGGGCAGGAATGTAACCATTCACACAATGAAATGTAGCACGTGTAGCTGAAACTTTGGGGTCCTTTTAAGGAGAAAGGTGGGCAAAACAGATTTTAAATGAATAAATTATAAATCCATTCATTCCCTCTGGCAAGGTATCGCTGGCTTGTGCAAAAACTGGGGGGTGGGGGCAGGAATTCAACCATTCACACAATGAAATGTAGCACGTGTAGCTGAAACAAGATAAGGTTTTTAAATTTTAATTTCAAAACAAAAATACTTGGCCCTGTTTGGAAATCCTTCACTGCCCAAAATTCCCGGGGGAAAACTTGAGGAAGCACTAGAACCTCTGATGATGGCTTCCTTGGCTACGGGGTTAAGGGAAGGACCGTGAAATAGGGCCTTGGGCAAAGTTTTCCTTTTCTTAAAATTTTATTTTAAGAAAATTCAAATTGCGGACAGAGTTGTCAGGCTGGCCCGTTCGACACCTGTCTGGAAAAACAGCCAAAGGCCGCTCAAGGTTAAGCCTCTGAAGGGCTAGGGATGATGATTTATGGAGAGTGCCAGGTTCCTCAGGGCTGTCGGAAGTGTTTTTTATTGGGAATCTTCAAAGACTACTTTTCCGGAAGGCGGGGGAGAAGTCTGCTATGCAAAAGAAGAAAAGAAAAAGATAAAACACAGGGAAAAAATTGAAACTTCCAGCCGGTTTCTGGCCTTCCATGGAGAAAATGGGACTTTTTGAAGCAATTTTTCCTCCCAAGAAAAGTTAGACCCTGTGAGACGCTCATGGAGTGATATCAAAAAGGGGGCTTTTTTGTTGCAAAACACACCTTTTTTTTTGGTCAACGTTTTACACTACAGGGATAGAAATGGCACCGCAAAGGGAGAGAGATTGAGGTCATCCAAAGTCTCCGGCCAGTTTAGAGTACAGTATTTGACTATTGGAAATGTAGAGGCACAGCCTTTCTTAATCCAATGTAATGGCACCTCTTCCTTCCTTCCTTCCTTCCTTCCTTCCTTCCTTCCTTCCTCTCTCTCTCT